GTTTTAAGCTGCCGGTTGGGAGAACAGTTCATAGTGGTTTTAAGCTGCCGGTTGGGAGAACAGTTCATAGTGGGTTTAAGCTGCCGGTTGGGAGAACAGTTCATAGTGGGTTTAAGCTGCCGGTTGGGAGAACAGTTCATAGTGGGTTTAAGCTGCCGGTTCCACTGCTAAGATACGTCAGTTTCATCAATGAGATTAATGTCACCTGAATCAAAAATTCTGCGCCAAGCTTCCCTAATTATTATAGACGAAATAACAATGTTTTCAAAGCATGGTTTGCGTTGTATTGAAAAGGTATTGCGTGAAATTATGTGCAATGAAAAACTCTTTGGGACAAGGTTTTCGTGGTCGGTGATAACTTTAGACAAACACTGCCAGTTGTGGTAAGAGGAGCGAGAACTGATATTGATGAAAGCTGCATTAAATCAAGCAATTTGTGGAAGCACTATTTACATTTGCCTCTAACAGTCAACATGCGAAGTGCTGGCCAGGAAGACCACAACAAGTGGCTGCTGCAAATCGGCATGGGTCATCATCCACCTATTGAAGGCGTCTAAAACGATTGCACCATTGCAATACCTCAACCGATGATCGAAACTAGTTATATAATCGCTTCCATTTTCGGAAAAAACATTTCTGAAATGTCACTTGATGATTTGGCGAAGCGTGTAATTATAGCGTCTACAAATAATAAAACTCCAGAGATGAATAGAAAGATCATCGAAATGATGCCAGGACACGCAAAAATTTTTTTGCAGCTCTGATTCACTAATCTCAGAAGACCCTAGCGATTTTCAGAATTATCCAGTTGAGTTTCTGACTCAACAAACACCCTCAGGAATGCCACCTCACGTTCTGCGATTAAAGCCTGGAAAAATAGTTATGTTATTGCCTGAATCCACAGAAAGGACTGTACAATGGAACTCGAATGATCGTGAAGCATCTCAATCACAATTTCATAACAACTGAAATCATTTCAGAGTGCAACCGTGGGCACATTGTTTTCATTCCGGGAATTGATTTGACTCCATCAGATACAACATTACCGTTTATTCTGAAGCGTCGACAATTTTCTATCATTCCTGCTTATGCCATCACGATAAACAAATCACAAGGACAAACATTTTGACCAAGTCGGCATCGAGCTCCAGACTGCAGTAATCTCACATGGTCAGCTCTACGTTGCATTGTCCGATCGAGGAACTCACCACAAATGAAAGTCCACATTATAGAAAACCCACAGCAAGGAAAGCTGCTGAAAGATAGTCGCTATATTTTACTCGAAATATAGTTTTCCATGAAGTTTTCCAGATGTAAAGACTATATTTTGCATACATTTAAATTTGTTTTGTTATAAATTAATGTTTTTTTTTCAATGTCTCAATATTCTTTTGAGTTTTGGTGGCTTAGGCCACATGGGAAGTACCTAGTATATATATATATATATATATATATACGGAAATTACGTTACAAGGATTTTCGACATTTTCCAATTCTCGCGCGATCAGTTGGAAGGAGTGGGGAGGGGGGTCAAGGGTCACGATGGAATTGAAATACACTATACACCACTTGACTAAAAGATTTTTGTTGTGTGTGTGTTTTTTTTTAAGGATCACGTTTAGAGTCGTCAATCCATAAAATCAACATTTTATTTTTTAAAGGTATCAATTTTAGAGGAATTTTAGAGGCTAAGTCGTCAATCCATAAACATGAAAATTTTACTTTGAAAACTATGTTTAAACTACACGTCCAAGTGTGGTTTTTGTTCTGAATTTTTGTTTTGGGGTAGGGCGGGGGTTAGGGGGCGGAGGTGAGAGGTCGGAGGTCGGCGCTTCGCAATGACCCCATTCTAGCACTGCCACTGGGGTATATCACTAAGAAACCACAACTAACCGGAAACCACAGCTCCAAAACCACTAGGGTCGATTGGTTTTGTCAGTTCAGCAGTAAATAGCTAGGGTCGATTGGTTTTGTCAGTTCAGCAGTAAATAGCTAGGGTCGATTGGTTTTGTCAGTTCAGCAGTAAATAGCTAGGTCGGTACAGCAAGTGGGCCATGTCGGTACAGTGAGAAATGGCTATGTCGGCACAGTATTTAGGGACTGGGCAGATGCAGTGTTCAGTGCATTGGTCGGTTCAATGTTTGCTGTTTAGGTCGGTACAGTTGGGCGAAGGGTTTGGTATACACAGAGGCAGCTGCCAGCCAATGGCATTAATAATTAGTGGAAGTCTGCACTGTATGCTCTAACGAAATGTGTTGAGCTCCCAGGTCCTCGTATGTGGAGTCATGCGACGTTAACTTGCGTGCTGAGAAATGCGACGTTCAGACAGACTTAAGCCCCCACGTTGTTTTATGATGTTTGGGGGGGGGGGGCGCTCAATCAATATGTGGGCATACTGATAAAACATAAGGAGAACCGTTGATGGTGATGGTATATTTAAGTTGATAAAACAAGAAAGCTTGTTGCAGCACGCTGCTGTTACAAATTCCTAGAGAGGGAAAATAGACTTAAAAAAAAAAATCGTTTGAATGCTGAACCATCTTAACTATTTTCCCCATTTGATTTATTAACCTGGTCATCTTAATCTGACCAGGCACCTGGAGGTTGGAGATCACCATAAACAATGGAAAAGGTCGGTTGCTGCTGCAACGTAAATAAAATATGTAAATGTCCACTATAATATGTCTTAACACTACAAGGGAACCATGGATATTTTCTTTAAGTATCCAGTGTAATATGTCTAAACACCACATGGGAACCATGGACATTTTCTTGAAATATCCAGTATAATATGTCTAAACCAGTGGTTCTTAACCTTTTTGGAGGTACCGAACCCCACCAGTTTCATATGCGCATTTACAGAACCCTTCTTAATAGGAAAAAATAAAATATGATTTTTTTTTCTGACTTTTTGTGGGGACCTCCACCGAACCCCTGAGACTGACTCACCGAACCCCTGGGGTTCGATCGAACCCATGTTAAGAACCACTGGTCTAAACACTACATGGGAACCATGGACATTTTCTTGAAATATCCAGTATAATATATATTAACACTACATGAGAACCATGGATATTTTCTTGAAATATCCAGTATAATATGTCTTAACACTACATGGGAACCATGGATATTTTCTTGAAATATCCAGTATAATATATATTAACACTACATGAGAACCATGGATATTTTCTTGAAATATCCAGTATAATATGTCTTAACACCACATGGGAACCATGGATATTTTCTTGAAATATCCAGTATAATATGTCTTAACACCACATGGGAAATTACAAGATGACTAGTTTGTTGAACAGATCAGTAAGTGATTTTGTTTTTATCTAAGGAAGTAGAAATGGTGTAAAAAGCTCTATGGATAGCCTACTTGGTAAAATGGGCTTATATAATATTATATCATTCCTCTAGTTATTACTTGGTAAAATGGGTTTTATAATACTATGTCATTCCTCTAATTATTCTAACTTATCTACAATAGAAATAGTTATTTGACAAACGCTTCTTATTAAACAAAAAAAAAACACCTTTTTTTTAAGCCTAACCTCGTCATTTGTGGTCGGAGAAGAATTTTAGTTACTGATTATTATTTCTTTATCTGAAAAAAAAAAAATGTCAAACTCGCTTCCTCTTTTCTCCAATTCCGGAAGTCGCGTCATAATAGACATAGGCTTTGGGATGCCGGAGAATGTGAAAATGACCCAGCTATCTCTCAGCAGGATACTAACCTTGCCCGTTCTCTTTGATCATAGTCTAAAAGTGAACCTTGACCATTCACTTTGATCATAGTCTAAAAGTGAGCCTTGACTATTCACTTTGAACACAGTCTAAAAGTCCGAAATTGTAAAATAAGATGTTGCAACTTCATAAAATAAAATTTCCTTTTCGATTTTTTTAAAAAAGACTTTTTTTCCAAGCCTAATAACAATGTCATATAATTTGAGAGAAAGCCTTGATAAAGTCTAACAGTATATCAATTTTTGATTTCCGTACAAAGCTTTTTTTTTTTTCTTTCTTTGTGGTAAATTGTATTACGATTCACTTGTTCAAATGTGCTAGCCTGACGTTTTTGGCTTCTGCACTAGGAGACAGAAACAGGTTGTTTCAATATCGAAATCTTTGAGAAAATTTCAGCCGTCTTTGTTGTACGCTTCCAACAACTTTTGTTCAAATTGTTTATGAGTTCTCCATCTTATTCCACTGATTTTTTTTTTCCCAAACACCATTCTCGAAATCTCTACATGACTTAATTGTTCTCCTATAAAAATGAAAGTGTTCTATAGAATTTATTAACTAAAATTAAACACAAATAAATGTAAAAACTAAATCACACACATCCATACAGTTTTTTTTGGTTGTTTTTTTTTGCTTCAAAAAGACAAAGATATTTTGTTTCGTTTTTAAATTAGAATACCGTTTTATTGTGACATATTGATAAAAAGGCGAATCAAGATGGCAAAAAAAAAATTAGAACAATAGAGTGAATAGGTATATTTTGAGAGCGTCCAGCGCTCATGGCTGAGTGACTCATGCAGGCATGAATACAGTATGGCACATATGTGTAACTGACTAGGATGGCAGATTAGCTTGGCATCTTTCCTTGGTTGTGTACAGTAAAATATGGTACAAACAATTTTGTGTAAAAACCATGGCTATGAAAAAAAAAAAACCGTTGGAAATGAGACAACTTTTCAGCACCTTTGCGAATGTGAAAAAAAAAATAAAATTGTTAGGTTTAAAAAATGTAAACAATATCACACCAATCTATTGGAATAGTATTATTATTTTAAAAATTTAAATTGGTGAGTTTCATTTTAAATGATCTTTTACTAAGAAACAAACTTGAATTCAGTTCACCTTATCTTATACAGAAACTAATTTGTACAAATTCATAGTTTAATTTTTTTTAAAGTGTACATTAGATTGTTTTTCACATCAAGACATGTCAGTAGAAAAAAATATTTTTTTTTTTTTTTTTTTTTTTTTTTTGGAAGCAAACAATTCTAAAGAAAGGGGGAAAAAAATAACCGAATATTTCTTTGGAAGATATTCTTTAAAATGAAGGTTAAAAAAATAATGTTCATCCATGGAAGACATTGTATACCTTTCTTAGAGTTATCAATCAATTTGACTTTCTCATCATTCTTATATTTATTAATATTGCATATTGGTGGTGGGCTAAGGGCAAGGAGGTTTACATCCAATCGATTAATTTATTATTACAAGTGATCATTTTCTAACATATACACAATAAAATAAAAGGAAAAAAAAACCCACAGCACAGCTGGGTCCAAAAATAAACTTTTTGGGAATCCTTGATATAAATAATTGAATATTCGTTCCTAGTACTTGAGTATTCCAACTAAAAAAAAAAATTAATTGAATTGTCTGGTATCCAGTACCGAGGTAAACTAGTAAACCTTGCTAATAATAATTACATAGCCACATCAATCCTTCATATATCACAAAGTGTGATGAGTTTTAAACAAAGTAAGAGAGAAGTGACAATCCAGATTGGCCATGGTAAGGCATGTAAGGTGTTTGTGACATTATGTGACAGATGACAAGCTAGTAGTCAATATGACATCTGATTAAGCTAGCAGTTAAAATAATTATTTCTAAGAGCAAAAAAAAAAAATAAAAAATAAAATAAGCTTCTTATTTACAGAAGTTGCAAAAAATTCATTAAAAAACTTGGCATAGTGTAGCATGAATAGAAAATAAGCCAGGATGTTTCTCTTGTTGCCAGATTGAGGCTGTATTAATCAAGGCAGATAATTTGAAAAGTTGTCAAAGCACAGAAGCAAATAACATATGGCACTTAATTTATCACAAGCTAACAATATTTGTTGACATTTTTATACCTGTTCATAGTCCTACTTCTGTTTAGGGCTGGTGTTTCACACACTGACATATAGGCCAGGGCACAATAAAATGTTGCTGTTAAATTTAACTTTTTGACAAAAATTCTAATGTAATACTGACCAAATGATATTTGAACAAAAAATATTGCTTTTAACTTTTAATTTAAATACAATGTAACTTATCTCTAAAACAAAATTTAAAAATAAAAAGAATGAATATAAAATTAATAATTTATTTCTAAGAGAGTTTGATTATTTTTTTATTCAGCTAAATTATACCCTAGACATCTACAATAAATGCTGAATCAAATTAATACCAATTGAACCAACCCAGCTGGCAAAATCATATGAACTGAAAATAAATATTTAAAATCTTATGTATTGGGGAACTACTACTTCTACTTTATAAATGTATGTATATATTGTAGCACTTTTTAGTACTTCTCTGCAAAACTGCAGTACATTTGAACATTGGCCGTGGTGGGGGGGAATCATATGACTGACTGAGCTTTGTATGTGATCAACACAATCAAAGTAAGCAAGTAATGAAAGGCCAAAAAAAAAAAAAAAATTCAATAAACTTGAAGATTTTAGTGTAGATACATGGTCCATGCAAGTGCTAGGCATATTATGGTACAGTATATAATTTGATATCATCTGGAGACCAAAATTAGTATGTACAAAGAAAAACTGTTTAACATAGTTGTTTAATTAAAAAAGAAAAAACACACCTCTTAAAATGTCCTAATAGTAATAGTAGCACAGCAGATGTATTGAAATACTTGTTGATAAACTCTTTCAAAAAGCATTACAAAAATGTGTATCCATTTTCAAATAAAATTATGTTAAAACAATTTGAAAAAATCTTTTTATGTTAGCTTTGTGCTTACAATAACTGTTTCTTAAAAAAAAAATACTTTGAAAGTGCATGGTAATCTAAAGTCAAAGTACAGAGACTTTATGCAAGATAAATTTGAAAAAAACAAAAAAACAAAGAACAATAAAAAATATATATAACTGAAATCAAATCTGGAGCAACTTTTCACCTCCACTGGCTCCCGGCTTTGTGTGACATGGCCAGCACAAGCGTTCTGGAGACCTAGCAAGGTGGGAGGTTAGCTGCCAAATTGTCTTGGCACCCACACAATCCTTCATTGGGGGGGAAGTAGGGTTACAAGCGTGATCAAAATGTAATCATAATAACATGGGAAATTTAAAAAAAAAAAAAAAAAATTAAAATGAATTGTCTTCTAGGAACCAGCCAACCAGCACAAGCGTTCTGGAGACCTAGCAAGGTGGGGGGTTAGCTGCCAAATTGTCTTGGCACCCACACAATCCTTCATTGGGGGGGAAGTAGGGTTAAAAGCGTGATCAAAATGTAATCATAATAACATGGGAAATTTAAAAAAAAAAAAAAAAAAGTTTACAATGAATTGTCTTCTTGGAACCAGCCAAGTTGACAAATGTAACAGTCGGGATGAATCATTAGCTAAGTTTAATATTACAAAACAAGAGCAAAAAAGAAAAGAAAAAAACAACTGATTCGAACCAGTCAAATCAGAGTGAATGAAAGCTGACGATGATCAGGTGAACAGGCGTCGTGTGGTGGTGGACATCAGCGACTGAGGCGCTGCTAAATAGGAAATGGACATTGAGAAATCTTTTGACCCAATTATCGTTATGCATCTTTTCAACCAGGTGAGATTACGCTTCTGCAGCCAGGTGTCTTAGGACAATGGCTACTGTCTACCGGTATCGGGAATCTCTCACGCTGGTTTACAACTCAAACCAAGTTTTAATTCTAAGCTCTGTACAGAAAAGATTTCAACAAAATAACAGAGGCAAACAAATTAAAACCAGCCATTTTCTCATTGAAGAATATACAATAACGATGGTTTGCAGGGGGAAAAAAAAGTTCTTTTGCAGGTCTCCAGTGTCAGTTAGCATTGGCTTAGGAATGCAGTCTCAGCCTCACTTTGAGATTAGCTGTTTGTAAAACAAGCTTTTCTGTTCAAGTTCACAGGGATTCTCAAAAGATTCATTGTTCATTTCAAATGTGCCTCTTCATGTGCAGAGACAAGTGATCGCTCCTTGAGAAGGCCCTCTCGCAGAGATGGCATTGGAACGGCCTGTCGCCAGTGTGCTTTCTGTAATGACGCGTGAGTTCATCAGAGCGTGCGAATTTCCAACCACATCCTTTCCACGTGCAATGATAGGGCTTCTCACCGGTGTGTGTGCGCAGATGAGCCTTCAGGTGGGAACTCTTGGTGTAGGTTTTGTTGCAGCCAGGGTGTGAACAGGAATGGCTGGTCTGGCGCTTGCGGCCCCAGGTGCGACGGCCCCGTTTCTTGGGCTGTGCGGCCGAGTCCATGGGGGGTTGGGGCATGAGGAGGTGGTCAAGCTGTGGGGAGGACGGGGGCGTGATCAGCTGGTGGGATCCGGGGTGAGGGGCCATGTGGGAGGGGTGCTGGTGGTGGGGAGACATCTTGGCCATCATGTGCTGGGGCCTCATGACCATCTGTTGATGGGGGTGGCCCATCGGGTACATGGGGGGCAGCTGGGACATTTTAAGGTTGTGCCTGGCCTGGTCCTGGTTATCCGGTGAGGAGGGAGGGGAGAGGTGGCTGCCGTGCATGGAGAAGACCATGTGAGGATTTTGAGGAGAGAGCTGGTTTGTGGGGAGGGCAGTCAGGGTTCCTCTGTAGGAGGTGCACGACTGAGGCATGGGGGGGAATTCGTGTTTAGGGAGTTTGAACTCGGGCATGGAGGTGCTGTTGAGGAGCTGCTGCTGCTGCATCATTGTCTTGGGCAGAGGTGAATTCTGTGTATTGACCTTGGAGCCTGACAAATTTGTCATGCCAGTGCCGGTCAAGGTGCAGTTCATCATGAGCATGTTATTATTCAGTTCATCGTCGAACTTGATATCGGGAATATCCAGAAATGTTGAGGAGAAATCGGGAAGACCATCAGAGGTCACGTGGCCTGGCTCCAGCTTGACCTTGGCGGCTCCGTTGCCCTCTTCGTACATGCTCCTCTCTGCGGTGTTGTTGAGAATAAAGTCCAAGTCCAGCAGGTCGTCGTAAATGTTTTCATGGGGCGCCGGGCTCCCACTGCTCACCTGACTGGAAGAACCTGGGCTGCCGATGGACATGGGTCCGTGGTGGGGGCTGTAAGGGTTTGGGCTGGAGAAGGCACTGCTGGATGAGCTGCACACCGAGTTTGGCGCCCCGGGGGAGTCAGGTGTCGGCATGGGCGAGAGCGGGGAGCTCCTCATTGCGTTGTCGTTCAGGATGTTCATCATACTTGTCTCGTATGGTGTGTTGTCTGGATACAGAAAATTCTCAACATCCGTCCAGTTCTGGTAAGGGAAGAAAGACAAATCGTTATTGAAATACTCACGAGAAACGACAACCAATTTTTGAAGACATAACATAATAGATACTTAAATAAAAATATTAAAAAAAAACTGAAACAGAATCCAAAGAAACAACACAGACACCCAACGCACCAGTAAATAATCAACATAGGACAGCTCCATTCCTCAACTGAGTTAATATGAAACAAACTTTGGCAACAAAAAAAATATATATATCAGGGCATAAAAGGTATTAAGAAGACCAGCGTCTAAATGGTCAGTGAAGTACTGACATTGGGACAGACTGATGGCACCGACAGGACAACCGGCGCCTTTATACGACCACTGCCACAAGACTACGGCATTAAGTCATGAGGCTCGCGTGCCTGGGTATGATTGCGGTGTACTTGCTAATCCGATTACCAAGTCATCATAATCGATACGCATCGGTGTATACAGCCGGTGCAACACGTTAGAACTTATCAAATAAACACAAGGACGCACATATAAGGGAGCCAATGATTTGTGAATGAAGTTATCGAAAATGAAAAGTTCAACTTAACTGGCAAGCCTATAACCATGAAATAGGGGGTTGGGGGGGGAGGGAAGGGGGGGGAAGGGGGGAACTATAAAACTTCGGACGAAAAGTAATTATTAAAAAAAGAAAGAGATAAATGGATATGCCGCAAGTCCAATATGTCTAGTCTGTCTTCAAAACTCACATTTTAAAAGTTTGCAGTTGATACTGGTGATATTTAAATATGTATATATATTCGCCGGTTCAAAACAAGGTTATTCAAAGCTAAGAAGACAATGAAATGTTGTTTTCCCCCTTCAAAGTCAAAGGTCAATTAGTTCAATGTTATGTTAACATAATTTAAAAGTGAAACTAAAATCGAAGCAAAAATAATACAGACGCGTTCTTGCTTAGATCTAAATGTTCACAAGTAGAAAAAAAAATCAAAGTACCTTCAGTGGTCTATCATAAATTGGCGCCATTCTCACTTGCATTCTACGGTGACAAGCGCACGAACTCGGTAACAGCGCGCACCAATAACTAGAATGATCCATCGACTGCGGCATATGACGTTGTGCAACTGACCTCGATAACGACCCGAACTAGGTCAAAGCATTCCCGTCCGCCAGCCCGCCAGCCATCACTGGGCTGGCTCAGCGCGCGGCGTCTCGTCAGCTTCCCTGGCCTCACTTAACATTTTTTTTTTTTTTTTTTTTTTTAAAAAATCGTCAAATTTTTTAAAAAAAATAAAAAAAAAAAAAAAAATTTGAACTTTTTAATTTTAAATTATTTTAAAAAAAAAAAAAATTAAAAAATTGAGTTTAAAATATATTTCATAACACGATAATAATACAAAGCTCTTTACTTAAAAAGAATGCAAGCTTGTTTAAAAAAAAAAAAAAATTAATATTATACGTTTTCAGTAGATCGCCGTATCCCCCCTCCCCTAATCGGTGCCCAACAGGCATTTTCTCGAAACGTGTTTGGCTTGACATCAAAATGTAAATACCAAAGTAAACAATCATAACATTTCAAAATTTAGCGTTTGTATGGAACAAATATTGTCAAGCATTTCGGGATTGAACACAGAATTAATCATTGTTAAGTTCGTGCGCAGAAGTAACTTGCATTGCTCACAAGGACCGCGTTGTGTAAAGCTCCTTTAAATTCACTTAAGATCTTTAGATCGTATGTCTTGTTTTGTGTAGCTTTATTTTTCTCATTAAAAATGGGATACGTAAATTAGATTTCGACATTGATGCGTTTGTTAGAATTAGGTGAGTAACCTGTGTCCCTATGTCAGGTTATGTCTTGCAAAGTGGCTCGATACAATATTTAGGTCCTGCAGCTGCAACACGTGCACTTACTCAGTGCACCTACTCAGTGCACACTTTCACACAATAAAAACAACAGCATTTTAAATAGTTTAAGTCCAAACTTGATATACTCACATTGTGATAATCCATTATATCCTGGTATTTTGGCAATACACTTCCACTTAGAGAAGGATCGAGCACTTTCGTCATGGCTAGTCAACTCATAAAACACATCAACAGAATCAATTACTTAAGCAATTTTATAATTCACTTATTTTCTTCTTTTTTTTCCTCTTGTGTTTTTATTTAAACTCAAAGACGACCGCGACGTTAGCGTTCCCGAAATTATAATTCAGATTTAACTATTTTAGTTGGCTCGCTCATCTTATAGTGCTGCGTGCGATCCCATTGGTGCACTAAATATAGCCCCAGTATATAAAGCGGTTAGTTTCTCGCAATGAAGTTCAGTGTGTTGGCTAGCAGTCCACCTGTACAGAGCGCTACGAGACGGAAAAGTCGAAACGACGGGGTCGCGCGATTAGTGGTATTCCCCAACTAACTGGCAAGCGGAAGAGGGCGGGTTGGGGTTAGGGGGGGGGGGGGGGGGGGGGGGGGGGGGGGGAGGGAGGCATAGGTCGGGCCGCTTGGTGTGACGTCAATCACAGTGGTCGTCTGATCAATGAAGGTTGCTAAGGACATCGTAAACAATGAGACAAGACGACATTCCACGACCACGAGAATCACCGCACGCAACGGCTTTATGAAAAGGATATTAAAATTAGCCTGCTTATAAATATACCGAGTAGGGGGGAAGAGTGCATATCAGAATGTTCTGGATGTAACCTAAATAGTACACGTCTGAATCATAACACACACCACTACTACTAGGTTTACGGGCTCCATGTAGTAAGACTGAATGGCAGGTCTTATGAATTAACGGTTTAAAGTACACCTTTACTACTATGCTTTGAGTTTTGTGATGTGTGTGTGAGAGAGAGAGAGAGGGGGGATTTATTGATCAATAAACACTCACCTAAGAGTGAAGAGCGAGGCCCCCGGGCCGTTGGTACTTTCTGATTGAGACAGAACGGCTAATCGGATTTCATTGAAAGTGCAGCTGTTGCCGAGGGTCGAGAGTGAGAGTCCTCGTGGTGCAGCTGTTGCCCAGGGTCGAGAGTGAGAGTCCTCGTGGTGCAGCTGTTGCCCAGGGTCGAGAGTGAGAGTCCTCGTGGTGCAGCTGTTGCCGAGGGTCGAGAGTGAGAGTCCTCGTGGTGCAGCTGTTGCCGAGGGTCGAGAGTGAGAGTCCTCGTGGTGCATTCTTCTCATGTTCACAAATTGTAATGTTTATTAAAAAACTTAAACGAAAACAGTGATTGCACGGTAACATGTCTCAGACTGAAGACAGATGAGACAACATGTCTCAGACTGAAGACAGATGAGACAACATGTCTCAGACTGAAGACAGATGAGACAACATGTCTCAGACTGAAGACAGATGAGACAACATGTCTCAGACTGAAGACAGATGAGACAACATGTCTCAGACTGAAGACAGATGAGACAACATGTCTCAGACTGAAGACAGATGAGACAACATGTCTCAGACTGAAGACAGATGAGACAAAATGTCTCAGACTGAAGACAGATGAGACAACATGTCTCAGACTGAAGACAGATGAGACAACATGTCTCAGACTGAAGACAGATGAGACAACATGTCTCAGACTGAAGACAGATGAGACAACATGCTCCAAAAAAAAACAAAAAACTAATTTGATGACGCTTTTGTCCCTTTATATAATGTGCACAGATTCACACTGATTACAAATGGAGGTTTACAGGTTACACCGATTACATGTTCTGGGCCTACATCTAACACTGATTACATTTTAGGCCTGTAGCTCACAATGATAACATAAGCCCTAATTTAGGCCTCCACATAAAAATGATTATACATTGTAGGCATACATCTCATGCTGAATACATAACGGAGGCATACAGCTGACACAATTACATAATTTAGGCCTACATCACACACTCATTACACAGTGAAGGCCTGCACCTCAAACTAATTACATAATGAAGACCTACAGCTCACATTGATCACAAAGTGTGTAGCCCAATTTTTAACATAGTAAAAGTGAACACTTTCTAACAAAAGTTCTGATTTGATGAACCACTAATGGACAATGCACCAAAATGTTTCATTATCTTCTCTGATGATGATAGCAGACTTGATGGTCTGTGGTTTGGGGGGGTGGGGGTGAGGGGGGATCGGCCGGTAACAGACGATCATCTGGACCATTTCAAATGCAAAGTATTATCTAATGACATACACCCCCACACGCGATGGTTAGTCCATTCAAATGAAGACATTAAGCTAACAAAGTAGACATTAATGAATGGTCAACATTGACAGGAATGTATAAAACATGAAATGTAAACATGGTGATCTACTGATACAACTACATTTTATGACCAGAATTACATTCAGTGATCTACTGATATGACTACATTTTATGACCAGAATTACATTCAGTGATCTACTGATACAACTACATTTTATGACCAGAATTACATTCAGTGATCTACTGATATGACTACATTTTATGACCAGAATTACATTCAGTGATCTACTGATGCAACTACATTTTATGACAAGCACTACATTCAGTGATGTAATGATAAACTACATTTGTCTCCAAATAATGGGGTACGATGACGTAAGAAAAAACTATTTATTTTCGGAGAGAAAAGAGCGAATCGCTTGTTTCATAACATAATCATATCTGATGATAAAGGGGAATAATAAGACCCAATAATATAGATTCAATTGCGCTTGTCTTGGTCTGGTTGAGTAAAAATGGTTTGGATGACGTCACAGTGCATTGAGAGGAAAGAAATTATTCAGATTAAAAGAAGAAATATAGTTTTTTAAATTTATATTATCAGGTCTGTTTTGATTAGCCCTGCTCAGCTTACTGTAATCAAGTTTAGAAACCACAAACATGATTTCGTAACCAACCCAAATTGTACAATGTAGTCGGCGACCACGGCCAAGATACTCGGTTTTACACCACAAAAATGGACGTACCCCATAGACTTGATACAAACGATCAAATGATCAAATCTTAATTCATAAGTCATATGTGATCGGATGAATACAATTGGATGAATTTTGATATTAAGTTGCAATCTGGGTTTGAGAGTATAATATACATGAGAAGAGTTGAACAGTGTCACGTGACAAGACAAGCTCATGTCATTTACATGATTTTTTTTTTTTTTACATTTTCCCTTTTCAAAACCTCAATATTTATTGTTGATCATTGCTTTTTGAAAACATCAACATTTATTGTAGATTCTTTTAAAAACTTAGTATTAAACTCCTGGGGACATACACGTAGAGATAATTTAAACAACGTAAGACAGTCCCACTCCTGGGAACATCCACGTAGAGATAATTTAAACAAGGTATGACACTCTCAGTGCTGGGAACATACTAATTGAGACAATTTAATGAATAATAACTTTCTGTATAAATCGATGGATTCATGGGTACATTTTGAGNGGGTGGGGGGGGGGGGGGGGGGGGGGGGGGAAATATGTTTTGAATTCTAGATGGGGATGCAGGAAATGTATCTGCTTTTCAACTCAAGGATGGTTGGGGCGCTGCAAAGAATCTCTGATGTAGGTGATCGGAGAAACGTTTTGCGCTTAAGAAAGTTTAGATTAAAACCAGTGTTGGGAAAATATGGCGGGGAAAAATGAACAAACCCATGGTCCCCATCTGTGAGGTATGTTTTTAAATCCTTATATTTAACTTCGCTTTTGTACGTGTGGTAGTTTTAGGAAAAAAAAATTATATGTCTCTACCGCGAAGTGACCAACTTTCCGTCATCCTATCGAGATGAAATTTGGCACATAGACTCGTTGCCGATGACACCACATTCATTCAAATGTTCAGTCCCATCTACACCCAACAACCCCTAAAATCACTTTTAACGCCCTCAGATGGCGCCGATTTCTCGAAGTAAAATTTCTCGATAGCTGCGCTAAATGACATTCTTTCAAAATATCGCAGGTTCGTTTGGTGCGTAAAATTCTCGCTTGTTTTTCTGAAATAGTTGGTGAAATAAATGTGCGGTGTAAAAGTGGGTGGTATCATTAGAATATTAATATAATTCAGGGGCGTGAACAAAATAAGCTGCTGAGAGCTCGGGGGGGGGGGGAGTAGAGGTTGCGGGGGAGCACTAATTGGTATTCTTATAAAGAGCGTTACTGGAATACATGTTTTGTTACATTTTCAGCCCTACCCCCCCCCATTGCTGCATATTACATTTTATAAAAGACTAGCGAGTACCCGCATGTTTTGCAATAGCACTAAAAAAAAAAATAAAAAAAATCAAGTGTTTGTGTTTTAATTATGTTTTTGAAGTACTTTCTATGTAGACGATATATATATATATTTTTTTTCCGTCTGGTGCGTACTTGAATAAATTAGAAGTTTTTTCGACGCGTACGCAGGCCACATACAGCTGTCCACGTGAGCAGGCCACATACAGCTGTCCATGTGAGCAGGCCCCATGACATACAGCTGTCCATGTGAGCAGGCCACATACAGCTGTCCATGTGAGCAGGCCACATACAGCTGTCCATGTGAGCAGGCCACATACAGCTGTCCATGTGAGCAGGCCACATACAGCTGTCCATGTGAGCTGTCCATGTGGGCAGGTCACATACTGCTGTCCATGTGAGCAGGCCACATACAGCTGTCCATGTGAGCAGGCCACATACAGCTGTCCATGTGAGCAGGCCACATACAGCTGTCCACGTGAGCAGGCCACATACAGCTGTCCATGTGAGCAGGCCACATGACATACAGCTGTCCCTGTTAGAAGTATGGATTTTCAAAATTTAGTCCACACACTTGTAGCGATTGATCCACCCATGCAATAGCTCTGTTAGAAGTTATAGTTAAATAGCTCATATAAGAAAAAAACCAATTTAGGGCCCCTGACCCAAAACGGAATATTGTAAAATGGTTTCATTATTTCAGAAACCTTTACGGGCATGCGAACAACAACTCACCGAAGTTTTATCGCAATCCGATGAATGGTGTAGGAGCGCATACGGGACAAACATACATACATACATACAGACATTCATTTATACATATATATTTATACAAAAAGCTTTGTTTGAAGGGTTGTTGAATTTTTAAAAAAAATATTTGTTTGTTCCCATGGATAATCGAATTATTCTTTGTCATAATTATGAATCCACATAATCGCCATATACATATATAAAACGGAGGCGGCGCCAAGTTTAGGAACTGTTGATATCCGGTAGGTGCAATG